GCTCCCAACTCTTTCCTCAACATTGCAGCATTCATTGTCGTGTGTGAGGCTTTCCTCCGCATCCCATGTAACACCAATAATGCGGCTATATCTCCCACGTGTCGGGGCACGACTTAGAGGCAAAAGCCGCATGGTAGGCATTTCGCAAGAGGGGTAATCTTTACACATTCCATGTACTGAATAAGGAAGGGATAAAGAGTCGGCTTACAATCGCCACTTCACACAAATACAAGTTAAACATACATCATCCACAATACAATCAAGGTCCGGCTACGGAACCAAAATAAAAAAAGACAACCCAAATGCTAGATCCCCAATCGTCCCAAGATCTTGTTCATTGTGTTGCTTCGTTTCCAGTTGATCAGTAGTGGAGCCCAGTTGGGACGATTGGGGATCTAGCATTTGGGTTGTCTTTTTTTATTTTGGTTCCGTAGCCGGACCTTGATTGTATTGTGGATGATGTATGTTTAACTTGTATTTGTGTGAAGTGCCGATTGTAAGCCGACTCTTTATCCCTTTCTTATTCAGTACATGGGATTTGTAAAGATTACCCCTCTTGCGACATGCCTACCATGCAGTTATGCCTCTAAGTCGTGCCCCGACACGTGGGAGATATAGGCGCATCGTGGGTGTTACAAGTTGGTATCAGAGCCTTCCCCGACTTAGGAGCCCCTGCTTGATCGAAACGCTGACGTTGTTGTGTCTAGAACAAAATGTTTTGAGTCTTAGGATTATATATATCGGAGAGTAGGATTCTTTTTACTCCTCAGTCCCTTCGTCGCTCTGGTGAGGCCTCGTGACGTAGAGTTTTGACCCTTCTCTACTCAAATTTCACGAATTTTTTTTAGGATCACGCGGGTATCTTGGAATCGTTCTGATGGTTTTGTGACGAGAACATTGTTCTTGGTGCCTCCTGACATTTAGGGGTTGTGGCAGTGTCCCGGGGAGTTGAGCTCCGAGGTGTTGTCGTCACAATTTTATCGTTGCAGTTCTGGAATACCTGAGTTCACCGACATCGAAAATCTGTTTTATGAAGTTGTTGGTGAGATAACCTCGACGCCACCCAGTACTGGGGCGGGAGTTCGGGAGTATTGCCATAACTTGTATAACAGATGCTTTTCGAAGGTTGAGGTAAATGATTTCCGAAGGTTTCTTGGTTATGTGTTGAAGGATGGATACAACTGGAAGTAGGATTTGCTAGTTTTGGGTGAGATATTATGCTTCCCCTATATCCCCAACACCTGATTGCATAACCAGAAAGTTTCAGGAGTTTATAAGTGGGAATTCAAGTATCACGTAGGAATTTGTTCCAACAGACACATGATACGATATGGGATCTATCATATGTTTGTTCCAGCTTATCCTGCAAGCCAATCCTTTGTTATGTTTTGAGTTGTGTTATTCGAGTTGCTTCAATGTCAAGTGTTGATTCCATACCTCCCCTAAGTGGTGTTGTCACACTTCTATGTGAATACTAATCCTTCATGATAATCGAGATTGTCATGTCAAATTTTTTTCAACCGACGTGTTTCTCTTCAAGTGGATCCGATCATTTCAACATCCGCAAGATCACCTCTCGGTTTTCCCAACATTGTTTGTTTCATCTGTCCTAAGTTGCATTTGTTTTCCCACCCTCCCATCCTTTTTCTTCAAGGACTCAGACTTCTTAATCAAGTATCCCTTTTATTGATGGGAAGTCTCTCCATTCTTTCCCGTCAATGTTCTTATACGGTGATTCTCAGGAAGATACTAACGAAGCTTCAAGTTCATCATTCTTTGTTGTCTTCTCTTATCTGTTGGATTCAATTCAAGCTTTCGGTGTTGATCATATCTTTTTCTTCGTTTCAAATGTTTTCTCATGCCGATGCACCTCTTAATCATCCATTTCTCGCTATTCAAGTGTTCCGGAGTGCTGAAGATATCTCAGAAGATTCAAGTTTCCATTCTCAATTCACTCAATTTCTTTTGAGGATGTTATCTCATTCAAGCCATTTAAATCAACCGGTGCAATCTCCCTTTCAAGTAATCGTTTGAAGGTGTTTCTTTTGAGTGGGCCCTAACCCACAGGTCTTTCCCAGGATCTTATTTGACTCTTCTAATTTTTCCGGAGTTATTCTCAAATTCATTTCAAATTTTGACGTAAGAATGAGTTATCACCAGTCAATTGCCTTCTCCAAGATCTTTCAAATTCTTTTCATCTTTGGCTCAACCTTTCCTCTTTTAATCATTCCAGAGTGTCTCAAAAATTCTTGGTGGTGTTTCTCGTCGTCATTCTCAGATTTTGAAGACCGAAGAACAGTTTCTCTTAAATCATATCTGTTATCGTGAAGATTCATGGTACTAGCTTCCTGCCATCGTCTCATAATTACTTTCGATTGTGAGAATTCTTTTCTCCTATCCGGAGCAATTCAAGAGTCTTTTCAGTTTGATTCTCCGGAGCCCATCATCTTAGAACTATTCATTCTCAGCGTGTAGCTATCGTTCTCCAAATCTTACAGGTGAATCGTTCAAATATCCTCTAATCAGTTCATGATCTCTCCGTTCTCATGTATCTAAATCCCCTCAAGTATCTTCGTTTGTTTCCCAAATTCTTCCCGGTGAATTGTGCCTTTGCTACTTTCTTTTTCAACTCTTACGGTGGTTCGGTCAAGGTTTCTCTTCCTTTGTTTTCATATTAATTTATCCGTTGTTTTCAATCCTACCGGTGGTTCGTTGAAGTCCTTCTCAAGTTTGCGCTATATCTATCTTAATTCCTTTCAACGAGAATAAGTAGTATGCCAAATCCATTGCTTGTCATCAATTTAATAGGTGAAGGATAAGCATAATGTAATTCTTATTCTTGTTTCATCGAGTAAATTCAATTCCTTATTCTAGAGGCTCAACATGGTGGCTCATCAAGGAATTGTTTCATTCTTCATTCGTTCTTTAAGATTTCTCTTGAAGTTAAGATCCGACAAGATATACTCTAAAATAAACATTGTGTTCAACACATGTCGTGTTTTGAAGAGTTCAGGCATTCTTCATCTTGCATTCCGAAGAGCAATTCTTTCATATCTCATCTTTTGAGGTGGTGTTATGTCACTCTTGACAATTTCCCTTCGTGTTTCATGATTCACAAGTTGTCTGGAATGACATATTTTAAACCCATAATTTTCATTTCGTTCATGAGATCCTTTGCAACCCATCAATCTCTTCATTGGAGTTATCTTGGGTTATATTTCACCTAAAGCTTTCCCTAAGGATTGTGCTATTTATGGTACTTATAAACGACCCTAGTTCTTTATTTATCCTCCCAGTGAAATAAGTTTCTCGTCTCTTTGTTTATATCAATCCAATCTATTATTTTTTCGTTAGTGGCAGAATCTCACCTCAAGTTTCTAGATATTTCCCATAAGTCCACAACAAGCTTACTCTTTTCGTTGTTGGATTTCCAACAACTCCGTTTGACCCTTCTCCTAAAGATGCCTTTCCAAGCTCATTTGAGGTAGAAGATGTGGTCTTCTCCTCCGTTCTTTTGATTTCATTCTTACTTTTGTTCCGGAGGCATTGTGATGTTGCTCTCTTCAACCCATCATCCCATTTTTTTTGTCAAAGACCATGTTCTTTCCTTTGCTTATCCATTCAACTGGAGTGTCGTGTCCTCTTTTCAAGTATCCTCTTATCTTGTCAAGTTCATGTTGAACTCCTTCCATTTATAGTCGGAGTGCTGTCCAAATTATATCATTCTTATTCCTTCTCTATCTTGTTTTAACCGGAGTGTTGTGTCTATCATTCCTCTTCTAACCGAACTCTCATCCAAGTGCTTTCATTTTGCCAAGTTCATATTCTTTACCTTCCATTTCCAACCAGAATGTTGTCGTAATTGATCATTATCGTTCCTTGTACATCTTGTTTCATCCAGAGTGCTTGCATGTACTTCCTGTCCATTGCAACCCTCTTCTTATGTCTTTTAACCTACAAGGTTCCCATAATGTTCCTTGTTCCTCCTTTCTAACGGAGTGTTTTCAACCTCGTTCATCTCCGTTGTATTCTCTTCTCAAAACTGTTTAACCTCTCAAGGTTCTCAGGTTTCACTCGTTTGTCAAAGAAGCAACTTTGTTTTACCTCTTCATCTTTCATTTTCTATCCGGTGCCATCCTAGATCTCGGGACGAGATCCTCTCGTAGTGGTGGAGTGTTGTGACGCCCCAAGACCAGAGTTTCAGATGCCTTCCAGGGTTTCTGAGTTTCATTGTGTGATTTGTTTTCTGTGTTGCATTCATCTTTGCATCATGTGCATTGCATCATGTCATCATGCCATCTTTTTCTCAACAAGCAAATCGTATGGATCTTCGATCCATTTAAACCGAGGGAATTCACATGGTGTTTCTCTTTAGAACATATACTCCCAATATTATTAGGGAGCTATATAAAACATTCCATTAGTTTGGAATTAACCGCAACAAACTTGCATTATAAATCCTTCTCGTTTCTAAACTATTTTTGCATCCATGATCTTTCCTCCAAGGCCCTTTCTCCAAGTGCAAACCATTTCACTTCTTCCTTCTTGCAAATTTCACCCACTTATTGCAAGTGGCATTATTTTGTTCCGTAAAATGTTCATTCTTTTCCTATTAATCTTAAACCATTACTACACCCTCTCTGCCAAATTTCAGATCCTTTGGACTTGTTTTGGTTGGATTCAAAAATGGCTCAAGTTTGAATCTAATTCAAACTTGAATTATTTTCTATCTGTAACATATTGCCAAACCATTTTATTCTATTTGTGCAAAGTTCCGGAGCTCCAAGAATATTTTATTTTCTGAAATATTCTTTCCCTAACCCTCTCTTTCTTTTTCTCCTCTCTAACTGTTTTTCTGTTAAAGCAAATTAGAAGGGAGACAGAAAGGGTCAAGCCATGCCTCTTGGGCCTCCTTAGCCGCAGGCCACTCAGGCCCAGCAGCAGCCGAGCTGGCCACTAGGCTAAGGCCCAGCCGTGCCCGATCCATCCTAACCTAACCCTCATCTCCCGATCGATCTCTCCCTTTCCCTCATCTCCACCCCGCCACCAGAGGGACCGAATCGATCCCATCCTTCCTTCTGCGCCGCACACATGCCCCTCGTCACGTCCTCCCACTCCGCCGCATCGCTCCCTCTCCCCGTCCCTCCAGTGCCGCCATCGCACCGCCTCCGTCCGGCTCCCTCGCTGGAGGCCGCCACCGCGACCCTGCCGGACACCGACGACCCGGGGCGCCGCGCCTCCGCCCCTGCCATGGGCACTGCGCCTATCTTCATCGCCCAACAGGAGCAGGAGCCCCCATGGTTGTCGCCGCAGTCCTTCCTACTCCGATGGAGCTCCCCGCCGCCGGATCGGGTCGCCTCCACCTCGGCGCTCTCCGTCAGCCTCCTCCACCGGCAAGAACCCAGCCGCCACCGCGACCAAGATCTACCCCGCGCCCGAGCGCCTCCTGCCGTGAGCTCGCCTGACCCGCACGGCCACGGCACCACCGGCCTCCATGGTTCACCTACACCCTGCCCTGCTCGATGCTCCTGTTCGTCCAGCGCCGCACTGCCTTGCCTTCTCCCATGAGCGCCGCTCTTGTAGCTCCTCTGTCAGTCTCACTCGTCATTCCCTGCTTCCACAGGCCTAGCCTCGGCTCCGTTCGAACCCCTGCATCTCTTCCTTGCTAAGGATCTGAGCTCCATCCTAACCAGTGCCCCTCGTGCTTCTCTGTTTTTGTCGGTTGTCCCGAGAAGTACCCTGTTGAACGATGCCAAATCCCGAACCAAGATCATCATATACCGTCACAGGATTTTTGCCAAGTGCCAGAACTATCCAGTACCCCTTCTACCATGTACAAAATCATCAAGGCCGAACCCGAAGGACCAAGGATGCGCCAAGTACCTTGTCGATACATGTACGACTACCGTCACCGAACACCGCGAGTACAACTACTTCCTCCGAGTACCACGAGACTACCGTCGACCCCGGGAGGACTCGGAGCTGTCAAGTCCGAAAACCCTTAGTACCACGACAACACCGAAGGGATTCGTATTCATCAAGTTCACCTTCAAAACGGGTACCACTACCGCCGCCCGAACGTCTACAAAACATGTACCACAACCATCGCTGAAGACCCCGTGGACGTCAAGTGTCGTGTCGTGACCCCGAACATCTACGGAAATGAACGACTACATCCCACAACGACCCGTGAACGACTACTTCCCTTGACGAACTCGATACGCTTTGAAAATGCAGGCTTCGAAGGTATAACCCTTAGATGACCGTCCGAGAACAATTGCTTCTGTTGTATGAGATGCACCCTTTGTCTGCATCGTGTCCGTAGTGTCTCTCACTTCCATGCCATCGACTCGTGGGAACCCAGTAAGCGGGATCACCCCACCATCTTTTGCACACTCCCGCCACACTTCCTTTTGCACCGCTATCTCCATGAGTTACCGGAACCGATATGTTGATGTGGCATCATTTTCGGATTCATTGACGTGGCCCTCATTTCCTTTCGCCATGGCGACAATGCTTCATATCATGTTCATGTCAACCTTTTCATAAAATTGCATAACTTGCACATGTCATCCGCATCATGATAATAACATTTAAAATGTTTAAAAATTGTTGTTTGAATTATATTGCTAAATGCATATGAGGTTTTACCGGAATTGTTGTTTGATTTTTCTGGCCCCATTTAAATTGCTTAGACTGTGTATTTTACTCATGTTTCACCTCTTGCCATGTTTAACAATATTTAATATTGTTGAGTACATTAATGGGAGAGAACTAAATAAGTCATGTGGTGTTCTGTCAATATGCAACTCATTGCTTATTGAGCTCCACTTAATTTGTAGTTTTGTTTGTGCACTTTGCCATGCCATGCATCATTAAACCGGACATGCATCATACTTGGTTGTGCATCATGCCATGTTTATGTGGTGGTTGTTTACTATGTTGTTTGCTTCTTTCCAGTGTTGCTTCTTTGGGTTAGTTCCGATAACGTCGTGTTTGTGAGGATTCGTTCGACTACGTCCATTTGTCTTCTTCATTGACTCGCTCTTCTTCCTTGCGGGATCTCAGGCAAGATGACCATACCCTCGAAATCACTGCTATCTTTGCTTGCTAGTTTTTCGCTCTATTGTTTTGCGATACCTACCACTTGCTATATCATTCCTCCCATATTGCCATGTCAAGCCTCTAACCCACCTTTCCAAGCAAACCGTTGTTTGGCTATGTTAACGCTTTGCTCAGCCCCTCTTATAGCGTTGCTAGTTGCAGGTGAAGTTGAAGTTTGTTCCATGTTGGAACATGGATTTTGTTGGGATATCATTATTATATCGTATTTACTTTAATGCATCTATACACTTGGTAAAGGGTGGAAGGCTCGGCCTTATGCCTGGTGTTTTGTTCCACTCTTGCCGCCCTAGTTTCCATCATACCGGTGTTATGTTCCTTCATTTTGCGTTCCTTACGTGGTTGGGTGTTATGGGAACCCCTTGACACTTCGCTTTGAATAAAACTCCTCCAGCAAGGCCCAACCTTGGTTTTAACATTTGCCACCTAAGCCTTTTTCCCTTGAGTTATGCAGACTCAAGGGTCATCTTTATTTTAAACCCCCGGGCCAGTGCTCCTCTGAGTGTTGGTCCAACCTGTCAGCCGCCGGTGACCACCAGGGGCAACTCTGGGTTGGCCTACCGGGACCTTGGACAATCTGGTGTGCCCTGAGAACGAGATATGTGCAGCTCCTATCGGGATTTGTCGGCACATTCGGGCGGCTTTGCTGGTCTTGTTTTACCATTGTTGAAATGTCTTGTAACCGGGATTCCGAGTCTGATCGGGTCTTCCTGGGAGAAGGAATATCCTTCGTTGACCGTGAGAGCTTGTGATGGGCTAAATTGGGACACCCCTGCAGGGTTTTGAACTTTCGAAAGCCGTGCCTGCGGTTATGGGCAGATGGGAATTTGTTAATGTCCGGTTGTAGAGAACTTGACACTTAACTTAATTAAAATGAATCAACCGCGTGTGTAGCCGTGATGGTCTCTTCTCGGCGGAGTCCGGGTAGTGAACACGGTTCTTGAGTTATGCTTGAATGTAAGTAGTTTTAGGATCATTTCTTGATCACTTCTAGTTCACGACCGATGCGTCGCTTCTCTTCTCGCTCTTATTTGCGTAAGTTAGCCACCATATATGCTTAGTGCTTGCTGCAACTCCACCTCACTACCTTTTCCTACATTTAAGCTTAAATAGTCTTGATCGCGAGGGTGTGAGATTGCTGAGTCCTCGTGGCTCACAGATACTTCCAAACAGTTGCAGGTGCCGATGATGCCAGTACAGGTGACGCAACCGAGCTCAAGTGGAAGCTCGATGAAGATCTTGATAGTTGTTTTGTTTCGTTTCCTGTTGATCAGTAGTGGAGCTGATGCGGAGCATCCTACGATCATCCCCCTGTACACTTCGAATACTCCCCAAGCCCCAAGAGGACATACGATGAGACCTCGACCATACGCCATTGGACACAAGGTGAGCTCACTCCTCTTCGAAACGTCACTTTCCACATATGAGACATGGCTACTACCTCATGCATGGACCTTGCATATACTCAGGTACAACCGAGATGACCATGGAGGATCCAAGGACCAAGGTCAAGCATGGAAGAGGAGAAGGAAGAAGAAGCAATGACAAGCTTCTGGAAAGCCCGGAACTTTCGGCCTCTGCCCGGAACTTCCGGCCCCCGGACCTTCCGACCTTCCCAGAACCTCCGGCCCTGGAGTCCAGACCAGCCCCGAGCGTGCCAACTCTCTGGATTGCCCGGAACCCAGCCGGAACCTGCCGGGAACTTCCGGAGCACGGAACTTTCGGCCCCACTCGGAACTTCCGGCCCCACCCGGAACTTCCGGCTTGCCTGCGTGCAAAGACTCAGGCCGAAGCCCATGTATCCCTTTCCCACTTACCCCTTCGTGGCTTAGACTATATATACTTCTCCATCTTCACCAGTTTAGGTTAGCGTTGTGATAGCTCATTTGAGAGATAGAGCTTCGCTCATCCACATCGGATCTACTCCACGAGAGAGATCGCGGCCTCTACGGAGAAGATCCCTTTGGATTAAAGACCTCCTTTTGGAGAAGAACTTCAAGACCTCCTCACGGAGAAGACCGGTTACCGTGTATCGTCCCTAGTTGATCGTGGATCGTGGATCTTACTTTATGTACTCGAGGATCTAGCACATGTGTGACTATTTCTTGTTGGTTGAGTGATTATCTCATGTTTCCCCTCGTGATTTCCCTTGTTTTCCCCTTGTGTTCCTCGTGTTCTACGCGGGATCCGCTCCTTTCATGAAAGATCGGGCGATTAGGGTTCTACCCTACATCATCTTGGTATCTAGAGCCACGTTGATCACGATTTCGGAGCCTCCCCTCTTTGTTTTCTAGCCTAATTTGGTTGTGTTCTTCCCCAATTTTGAAAATCCCCACCAAAAATAGCCCCAATTTTTTTTTGTGATTTGTTGGTTTTGATGATGTTTTGTTGATTTTGATCCATGGATTCGTTGTGTCTCAAGTGGATCTAGCATTCCCCATCTTTTCCCCCGTTTCTATCCACAAAATCTTCCCAATTTTGACATTGGAAATCGAGTTTTTCCGCCCCCATTCTCAGATCTGGAATTTAGGGTTTGTTCCGGAAGAAATTCCACGACCCTCGAAACTTCCGGACTCCCCCGGAACTTCCGTCCTTACCCCGGAACTTCCGGGCTAAACAGAGAGTTTACCCAAAATCCCCCGGCTTCCCCGAGACTTTTTCCGCGACCCCCGGAACTTCTGGCCCTAGGCCCGGAACTTCCGGCCTAACCAGAAACATTACACAGAATTTCAGCATCAGCCTCTTTCACCGTTTTCATCACAACTTTTCACTCCGAAGTCCGATTTGAGTGTTGTTTGGCTCGTTTTGAAGCTATCGACGTGCCCGAGGACCTCACCTTAGTTTCACCACCTTTTGACACCATCAAATATTTGGAATTTTGGCATCTTTGCCTAGGCCTTCCACCATATCATCCGCTACACCACCACCGACTTCCGCAACCTAACCAATTTTGTTCCCCATCGCATATGTGGTTGCTTGAGGAGTGATTTGAGTCTCCTAAGGTGTCTAGGCTACTTAGGGACGGTTGCTTATTCATCAACCACCACAACCACCACCATAACTTCCGCATAGGCTTACCAACCATACACTTCTGCCACCCCAACATAACCCAATTTTGTTTGTGTTGTGAGTTGTGTCTCCTAAGGTGTTTAGGCTACTTAGGGACTGTGCTTCCATCTCCGACACCGTGTATAGTCCACCACCGCATCCCGCTACCACCATTTTGACATTTGAGATTTTGTGTTCGCGGTATTTCCGTTTCCTAAGGTGTTTCGGCTACTTAGGGACGAGTCTCCATCATCTTGGTATCTCCATCAAGACCACCGCCACTCATCATCGACACGAACAGTAACCTCCATATCATCTTGGTATCGTGGTATCCCTCCATTGTATATTCCCTTGCCATTGCATTGATAACCCCTAGCCTATTTTGCGTTACTTGCCTATCGAGACTAGCCATTTGAGTATTGCCGGCAACGTTACTTGTGCATATTAGTGATCTACACCATACATTCCATACATACCATATCATTTGAGTATTCATCTCGTGTGCCTTAAGTTTGTTCCCGCATATACACAATAGCTATCTTGGTTTGTGCATTGTGCAAAAGTGTCCATACATACAAAAAAGAGAATAAGCTTTTAAGAAAAAGAGAAAGAGCAAAGAAGCTCGTAAGCAAGTGCCATAGCATCATACCACATTGCATAAGATTGTCATATCGGATCATCTTGGATCATACCACCGGAACATCATATACATAGCATAACTGGGATAGAAGTCGTTGCATTTTTGTCTCCTATAGGTTGTGCACAAGTGTCATATCCGCCTATTGAGCAATAATGCTAGCGTCTCTCTAGAGTTGTGCAACAAGAGCATTTTCCGTGGATTCCACATTTTGAGCTCATTCCTTGGTTGCACGACCCCATTTATCTATCCGTGTGTGTGTTTCTGTGTGCCACATATTGCTATTGGTCTACTTGTTTCACTTCCGAATTTGTGAATCTCTTTCAACATTATTGACTCTTGCTAACATTTTGCATCAAATTTTTTGTGCCACTATCCTCACCGAGCTCCACCATAAGCCTTATTTGTGTAGGTGTGAGAAACTGACAAGAATTGGTAACAATTGTGCTATTTCCTTTTCCACATTGGAGTGATCATTGATCCACTTTCAACTTCGGTCAAGGTACATTTGGTATTTGTTCTTCTCTTTCTACCACTCACATTTTTCTCTTGGAGTGATGGATGGGCAAGGCATTTCATCTCCGGTCTTCGACAACAACAACAGCGTGAACAACTACATCACCAAAGCGTCAATCTTCGATCTACAATGACAAATGCAAGGCGCTCAATCAAGATTGCGAGAGCGCATCGAGAACCTCT